GAGATTGAGAGAGAGAGAGAGAGAGAGAGATTGAGAGAGAGAATTTCTTTCTCCTTTTATAAGGGCACTAATACCATCCTCGTGAACTAACCCCATTACTTCCCAAAGACCCTATATCCAAACACTGTTAAATTGGGCATTAGGACTTCAACATACAAATTGGGGGAATGCAAACATTCAGTCCATAACAGGAGCCAGATGGATTTGGTTGAAGTCTGCTATAGTCCATTTTCCCTTGTCTACTTCTGGTCAGTCGAGATCACTTCAACCCATCAAATGTTTTCTGAATGCTTGCAAACACCTAAACTCTTCAAAGAGACCTGTTTGTTTATGTAAAAATTCCTGTTCTCTCAGCTCTTTATAGTTGTGTACATGGAGGAACACCAAAGGTTCACTCAGCCTGAGCTTAAGCCCTAATTCAGTCAAAAAGACATGCTTCAGATGCACATTCTTCTGAAGAATAGGTATAGATTTGTTCTACATTTACTTAACTAAAAGTTCATAGTGGTGACTTTCTCAGAAAAATGGAAGTGTATTATCAAGGAACAATCTGAGTTTGTAACTCAAGAAACAGAAAACAGACAGCAATGTCCAGATGGCTGTTCTCCAGCTTAAAAAATAAAGTCCCTTCATTGGAAGTACTGCAATGTACTGAAAATAACATTAAGCAGCCTTACTTCAAAAAAGGAGGAAGGATATTTTTCTGGAAAAGTATTTTACTTTCTTTCCCTACATAGTTAGTTCAATTCCTCCTGGAAGCCTATTCTAAGCTGAGAATGGAAAAGAATCATCAAAGATCAATGCAAACATCACCCCCATGCACAAGAGCCCTTCTCATGGAGCTTGCTGACTTGGTGTAATAGGTGTGTGTGTGTGTGTGTGTGTGTGTGTGTGTGTGTGTACTTATTTAATTTTTTGTTGTTGTTTAAAAAGCTTCTTCTTGTCTTCAGGCTGACTGTAGGCATTAAAGTAACAGTTGTAGGACAAATTCATTAGAGTATGGGCTCTGGCATCACACAGACCTGGATTTGAGTCTTGGCTCCACCACTCTTGTGTCCAGTACTAAGTTTCACTAAAACCCAAACATCTCTTCTATAAAGTAAGACTAATTATATCTCAGCTCAATGAGTTATCATGAGAAATGCAACAGACTACATTTTTAAAGCTTTTAACACAGTGCTTGGCACATATTTATGAGCAAAATAGATATTTACTATTATAAAAATATTATTGTTTAAAAGAATGTCAGGTAAAAAAACAAAAAGTAAAAAAAATAAATAAAAACAATGTCAGGTAACATGGTAGAGAAAGAGGGCTGGAAAAATCGATGTATATGCTTAAAGCAAAAAAAAAAAAAATCTACTTCTTATTAACTCAACCTATTTCCAATTAATTCAACCACTAGGTAAGCCAATTTTTAACTGAGAGAAGAATTTGGTTTGATAGTGAAATCCATAGAATGAGCAAACTTTAGTGCTTCAAGGAACCTTAGAATCAAGTATTCTTCCCTTTCAAAGGATCAGACAAAGACACCAAAGATATTTTAACCTGCTCAAGGTCAAACAGCCACTCTGAAGAGCCAGAAGTAAAACACAGTTCTTATACCACTCTTCTACAATGTATTAGACCTCAATTCATATTTGCCAAAGGAGTGGTTCAGTTTCTTTTTAGAATTCATATATGGATGAATATACTAAGCTGACTAAGGACAGGTAATTCCATGTAACATGTAACATATCGCCCAAACAATTAAGAATTGGTTTGACACACATCACTTCTACCCATCACTGATGCCTGAACACAATTGCAAGTCTTGGAAGTGGAAGAGAAGGGTCTGAAAAGCAAACAAACCTTAGTCATGTTATTAAAGGACACTTTCTTTGGAATGGAACGCTGGAGTGTTTAATTATCAACATGTGCCTTTCCATCCCTGGCCTATTAAATCATCTGGCCTGCTAATAATAGCCTGTTTAGCCATCAGCAGAAGATGGATGAGTTTTAGTTCCCATTTTCAAATCCAAGGTATCTGCCCTGTTTCTGAATTATCTGCAGATGAAGATTAGTCACTGAGGCATCTGTAGGTTGTGCAGAGGACATTGGGAGTCTTGGCCAGCACATTTATCCTCACCAATGTACTCCTCCCTCTCCTCCAGGGCTTCCACTAGTGAACAGAGACTGAAAGTGCCAAGGTTAAATGTGGAGAAGGAAACCTTACCGATTAAAACCTCGTTTTAGCATTAGTAAACTGGATTTAATTGCTTCCTGTTTTTAAACCATCTGTGAATATATCACCTATTTAGCTCTGCAAAGGAAATTCTGCATGTAGTATGACTGCTTTCAAATTCAGCTGTTTTTTGTTTGTTTGTTCGCTCTTTTTAATCTGTATCTATTGTTCTTGTTACCTGTTGATGTGTGACAAACTATCCCAAATAATCTATTTGGATCATGATTTTGTGGATGAGGAATTTGGGAAGTACTTAGCTGGGTTTCCCATCTCTGCTCCATGAGATGTTAATTGGAGTGGGTTGGAACGTGCTAGATATTCCTCTTTCAAGATGGCACACTCACATGTTTAGCAAGTTGGTGCTGGTGTTGGCTGAGAATTTAGCTTAGTCTTTTGGTAGGGTAACTTCACTTGCGATCCACAAGGGTCTATCCATAGGCTGCTTGGACTTCTCTAGAGCAGATAAGCTGAGTTTCTAGAGTGAATGTTCTTTCAGTCCATTGAAAGCTGCAAGATGCCTTTTGGCCTAGTTTCAGAAGTCCCAGAACATGACTTTCACTGTATTCCTTGGTCAGGCAAATCACTTAAGTCAAGCTCAGATTCAAGGGGACAGAAAATAGATTTCCTCTCTTAAGGGTAGAACAAGCAAAGACTTTGCAGACTTCTTTAATCTGTTATATCAAGGAAAATCATAATCATTAGATTTTAACTACCACCTCCATCCCACAGATTATCTGATCTTTTTCAGAATCTTAAAAAATATTGCTAATTTATTAATCAGATTTTCCTCCATTCTTGATATTAGTATTTTATGATATCTTGAAACAATGGTTTCGATCAATCAATCATTAATCAAATTGCATTTATTTTTCTGTTGGTTATTCCTTTCCTTTCCCAGCCTATCCCCATATTGATTATAATACTCCAAATGTCATTCTAGATTATGCATAACTAGTCGGTAGCAAATAACAGAAGCTTCAACACCACATTCTCTGTGAGAGAAAGCAAGGCAGATGAGGGAAAAAACAATTAAAAAACACTTTCCAAGCTGAAGAAGGATCTTAACAATGGCAGAGCTTTTGACATATTTAGGTAGCTTTCATGCCACCCTTTCCCTTTTATGCCCCAAGGAGCAAGGGTATAAAAAAATCAGTTCTGCAGATCTTATCAGTAGACCCAAAAGTAGAAATTAACTAGTAGTGAAAATCTCATAGATTGAGCCCCTTTTCATTTGCATATATTTGCATATGAATACTCAACTAATTGTTGTGAAGTAACAATTAAGAGAACAATAGAAGAAAGAAAAGGGGCTTGAGGCTGCAGCAGACACCTGGGAGACTGTATTTAAAAAGCTTTTTACATATTTGAATTTTTTAAATAAAGACAAAGGCACTGAATAATGAACACAAAATACTACCAAAAGAATTAAAGTGGGAAAAGGTTTGTGACCTACTGATACCATTTTCTGATACAGAGTTCTCTAATTTTTTCTGCTTCAATCTTGAATATCAAAGCCCTGTAATGTTGAGTTTAGAACCCAAGGTTCTAGAGATAGTGCTGAAGCAAGTTGAGTTCTCCTGCCAAGCTCCTAAGTTTGCACTGACCCCTCTTCAAACTGATACTTTTAAATAATTGTTAAACATTCCTTTAGCAGAGAGCTGTTTACTGAGCTTGGGACAAGGTGGCTTTCCTTTTTCTCCTTTGTGATCCTGAACAATTCAGCTCTGGCCCCAAACTGGCATACTCTGCTCAGCAAAATACGTGACCTGCATTTAACTCTTTCCATTCTTCCTAAAGAGCAATTTAGCAAACATCTGAACTATATTGAGCATGCTCTATTACCTCTGAAATAGATTTTTGAAAAAAAAGTTTGTTTGCCTATCATCTATTCCCTTTTATGAAAATAGCACCATAATTTTCCTTTATACAATCTCATTGTGTATTTTCAGTCTTTGTGGCTTCTGATGGGACTCCTGCCCCCAGGTCTAAGAACAGAGCCAAAACAAAGGGAGGTGTAGTTTAGAGACAGGCAGAGATGGATCAGAGCAATATAAACATAAAGGAGAGGGGAAAAACAGAGAAAGGAAGAAGAAAGAGGGAAACAGACAGACAGAAAACACTGAAGACATTGTTTGACATGTTGATTCCAACCATTCCCTAACCTATATATTTAGTTATATAAGCCAATTGATCTACCTCCTCTAGCACACACACAGACATGTGCAGCATGCACACACAGAAACTTTTTTTTTTTTTTTTAATTTATTCATGAGAGACAGAGAGAGAGAGGCAGAGGGAGAAGCAGGCTCCCAAGGAGCAGAGAGCCCGATGCGGGACTTGATCCCAGGACCCTGGGATCATGACCTGAGCTGAAGGCAGACGCTTAACCATCTGAGCCACCCAGGCGCCCCCACACAGAAACATTTTATTTATTTATAAACAATCTTATGATGATGATGATTATATTTTGCTTAAGCTAGTATGATTTGAGTTTCTATCACTTGAAATCAGGGTTTAATAATACAATCCCTTATCAACTCAAAGAAAAATATTCCCCCCAGTTGTTTATAGTACTGTCTTTGAAAGGCATTGTCAAATCTAAACCAGTACATTAAATTCACTCCACTCACTGGCTTTCAAATAACCAACCAAAGATTGCTTTTCCAAATTACTTAGATCTATTACGGGATTATTCAACATGACTAATAAATTATCCAACATAAAATTATTTAATTTATCTAGAAAAACTTCCATATATATATACCCAAATACTTACATATTCTTTTAATCCTTTTAAAAAGCCACAGATAAGTGCACATCTATTAGTGTCCTCATAGGCATGTGTACTTGGTGCCTTTGGTGGAATAACAAACTCCAACATTTCAGTGTCATATAACACAAAGGCTTATTTCTTGCTCACATTACATGTAAACTTTAGGCCAGTAGTGTTCTGCTCCAGCAATGACTCCACTCCATCTGTCTTCTCAATTAGACTTGCAGGCTAAAGGAGCAACCCTTATCTGGAATGTACCATTCTCAAAGCAGACAGCAGAAGCAAGAGACTAAGCTGAACCATGTGATCATATTTAAAACTTCTGTTCCAACATGTCATACATCACATTTACTCAGATTACAAGGGACAGATTTACCAATGGCACAGGAAAATATATGCCCCTTATACAGGGGCACTGCCAGTTACACAACAAAGACAAGGATATATAAACTTACATTGATGAGAGTGAATTATTTTTTAAAAGATTTTATTTATTCACTTTAGAGAGGGAGAGAGCAAGCAGGGGGAGGAGCAGAGGGAGAAGGACAAGCAGACTCCAGGCTGAAAGCAGAGCCTGACACCGGCCAATCCCACCACCCTGAGATCACAACCCCAGCCAAAATCCAGAGTCGGTCATTCAACCACTGAGCCACCCAGGCGCCCCTGGGAATGAATTATTTTGAACAATAATACAGTCTGAAAAATCTATTGTGTCAGATTATTTAACCAGATTATATTACTCTCTTTACCTGGTTGCTGTCTAGGCTACCACAATACCTTGAATCTGGTACCCAGGTTTCACTGGAGTGCTAGAGTCTCATCTTCAAGACTTAGCACAGAGAAAGATTTTGCACCTCTACAGTGGGAACACATGTCCTTGAGATCAGGGTTCTTGCATCCTGTAGGGGGAAGAGTTCCCTTTATATGATGAGCTCTCCCAAGTCCATTGCTTTTTACAGTCTTGCTCAGTAGCCTATACGAAATGAACTAACCCTACTCTGTTGGTTTTAGATGTGATTAGAAAATATGTTAACTCTGCTACCTTATTCCTCTGACTCTATGTTTTAGAAATATGAATATGCACCCCTCAAATGTTGATGCTGTTATGATGTAGCTTTCAGTACAACCTAGATTTACTAGATTCACTCATAAACTCATGCACTCCAAAGCATTCTAGTAAATACAACTTTCGTGATCTTTCTTGATCTTGCTACATTTACAGTGATGTTTTAGCAATCCTGTAGATGGATCTTGTTCTAGTAACAGTGGCTATGTAACAAACTAACTCAAAACTCAGTAACTTAAGAGAACAATATTCATTGATTATCTCTCTTGATCTTAATGAATCAGAAATTTAAAAGCAGCTCAGCTCTGTGGTTCTGGTTTAGGGTCTTTCATGAAGCTTCAGTCTAATGGTACCTAAGACTAGTGTCATGAAGGCTTCTTTACTCATATGTATGGAATTCCAGCTGGGAAAACTTGGACATCTGGGAATCATAGGGGCTCCTTGTGTATCTTTTTGTAACTCTGTGTGGTGTCTTGTGTGATCTCCAGGATGGCAGCTTCAGAAGTACTAACATGGTAGATAAGATCTCCAAAGGCCCAAGTTCTTAGAGAGAGAGAGATAGAAACAAAGATGGAGACAAAAAAAAAAGAAAGAGTATGTTCTGGGTGAACCCATATTGTCTTTTACAACCTACCCTTAGAAGTCAGGCAAGTGTCAATTTTGCCATATTCTCAGAGGTAAAGCAGTTACAAAGGTATACCCAGATTTGAGGGGATGCACCAGAGACTCTATCTCTTACTAGAGGATTGTCAGTATTACTTTGTAAGAAGAGCTTGTAGGATAAGATTAATATTGGTGTGACCATCTTTGGAAAATCCAATTTGCCAAAGATACCCTGGTCATCCAGCCTGTTAATCTAGTTCTGATGAAACACTCTGGATTTGAATCAAAGAATGTCATAGTTAAAAGGAAAGGAACATAAAATAATCTCATGCAACTTTTTCTAATCACACACTCAAGGAATTTAAGTGATGCCCAAGGTAAGACAGATAATTAGATATAAATATACCAAAATTAGAGGAAAAATGTCTATCCTGAGCTCACATAAACCTCATGCCTATGCAAAAATTAACCCAGAATGCAGCATAGATTTAAATGTAAATCTAAATGTAAATTTAAAACTATGAAATTTTAAAAGGAAAAGATGGAATATAATGTCAGACTACTAAAGAATGTAAACTGATAATTGGTATGATTTTCCTTATATTCTTAGCTCAAATGTGTATGAAATGAACATTATTAACTTGTTATAAAGACTTTGAACTCAATTATTTAATAGTTGAATTCAAACTTCTTAATAGTGATGGGTTTTTGCAGTCATTTATCTCATTCTATTTCATATTGGGTGAGGAAGAGTAGTTTGTGTTTTTCAAGAAAGTGGTCCATTTCAAATACCTTGTCAAAGTTATATGGGCAAAGTTGTTCATAATATTTCCATATTATCTTTTGGGATGCCGGCAGGGTCTGTAGTGGTATCCCCTGCTTCATTTCTAACATTGATCATTTTTGTATTCTCACATATTTTTCCTTTCTCAAGCTTGCTAGCTGTTTGTCAATGTTATTGATCTTTTTGAAGAAGCAGCTCTTGGTTTCATTGATTTTCTTGATTGCGTTTCTTTTTCCAAGTTTATTGATTTCTGCCCTTATGTGCATTATTCTCTTCCTTCTGTTTGCTTTAGGTTTCTTTCTTTCTTTCTTTCTTTTTTAGATTATTGATTTGAGACATTTTTCATGTATAAATTTAGTTCTATAAATTTCCTTCTTAGTACTGCTGTAGCTGTGCCCCACAAATTTTGATAGTTTGTATATACATTTTTTTTTTATTTTTCTTGAAACTACCTTTTAGACCCATGGATTATGCTTAGTTTTCAAATGTATGAAAATTTTTCTGTAATTACTCTCTTATTGATTTCTAGTTTGATTCCATTGTGGTCAGAATATACACTTGTATAATTTCAGTTAGTTTAAATTTCTAAGGTTTATTTTATAGCTTTCTACCATAGGATATGATTCATGTGCACTTAAAAATAATATGTCCTGCTGTTGTTGGGTGTCCTAAAAATGCTGAGTAGATACTGTTGGCTAATAGTGCTGTTGGCTTCTTCTATATCCTTGCCGATTTTCTCTTCAATTTTTCTATAAAGTGTTGAGAGAGGAGTGTTGAAGTCTTCAAGTGTAATAGTGGATGTATGTTTTCTGTTTCAGTTCTATCAGTGTCTGCCTCACACATTTTGCAGCTATGTTATTTAGTGCCTACACATCTAGGATTTCTGTGTCTATTTGCATCTTTATCCTTTTATCATTATAAAATGTCACTCTTCCAGGTAATTTTTTTTTTTTTGCCTTGAAGTCTACTTTATCTGATATTAATATATCCACTCCTGCTTTCCTTTGATTAATGTTTGTATGATATATGGTTTGTTTGTTTTTTTTTAATAGTTGGGTCATGTTTTACAATCCACTTTGCCAGCTTCTGTATTTTAACATGTATTTATGCCATTTACATTTAATGTAATTATTGATATGTTAGGGTTTAAACTGCCATTTAATTTTTATTTTCTGTTTGTTCTCTTAGTTTTTCATATCTCTTTTCATCTTCCTCTCTCTGTGGGTTACTAGACTTTTTTTAAGACTCCATTTTTATTAGTGTAATGTTTTTGAGTATATCTCTTTGTGTAGCTTTTTAAGTGGTTATTCTAGATACTACATTATACATGTCAATGTAAGTGTGAGGTGTCTGTGTGTGTGTGTGTGAATATATATATGTTCACACACAGTCTACTGGTGTCATTATTTTACAAGTGCAAATGAAGTATTAAAATCTTACCTCTCTTTAGATTCCTTTGCACTTCCTTATTTATAATATAATTGCCTTAAATATTTCCTCAGCATACTTTTAGAATCATATCACACAATGTTAAATTATATTTTTGCTTTCATCATAAAAAATTAGAAAACTCAACAGGGCGCCTGGGTGGCTCAGATGGTTAAACGTCTACCTTCGGCTCAGGTCATGATCCCAGTGTGCTGGGATTGAGCCCCGCATCGGGCTCCCTGCTCAGCAGGGAGCCTGCTTCTCCTCCTCCTTCTGCTTCTCCCCCTTCTCATGTTCTCTCTCTCTCTCTGTATCTCTGTGTCTCGAATGAATAAATAAATAAATAAAAATCTTAAAAATTAGAAAACTCAAGAGAAAAGGGAAATCTTATTGTATTTTCCTTATTTTTCTTAACTTGTTCTTTCCTCTTCCCCAATATTTCAAGGTTCCTTACTTTACAGTTTTTGTTCTGTTTAGAGAGCTTCCTTAAGCCGTTCTTTTATAATAGGTCTGAGAGTGATAGATTATCTTAATTTTTCTTTGTCTAAGAATATTTTGATTTCACTTTCATTCCTGAAGGATATTTTTGCTGTATATAGGTTTCTAGGTTGACAGAGCTTTTCTTTCAACACTTGAAAAATATTGTGCCACTTTATTCTGGCCTCCATCATTTCTAATGATAAATCAGCTATCATTTTAATTGATTATTCTCTATATGTAAGGTGTCCTTTTTCTCTGGCCACTGTCGAGATTTTTTCTTTGTTTTCAGTTTTTGGAAAATTTAATTTAATGTGTCTTTGCATGAATTTCTTTTGGTTTATCCCATCTGGGGTTTACTCAGCTTCTTGAATCTGGAAGTTTATGTTTTTTGACAAATTTGGGAAGTTTTTGTTCATTATTTCTATGTGTAGCTTTTTCAGCCCTGTCATCTTTCTCCTCTTGTTTTTGAACTCCAATGACAAGAATGTTAGGTCTTTCATTATAGTTCCACATATCTCTAAGATGCTATTTATTTTTTCAGTCTATCTTATTTTTGCTATTCAGATTGAATAATCTCTATTGTTCTCTTTTCCATTCATTGATGATTTCCTCTGTCCCCTGCATTCTATGATTGAGCCTATTCACTGAGCTTATATTTCAGTAATTATATTTTTCAGTTCTAAAGTTCTATTTGGTTCTTCTTTATATCTTCTATTTCTTTGCTGGGACTTTTTATCTCTTTGCTGTGGCTTTCTGTTTTTTGGGGGGGTTTTTTTTGGTACAGGCATGTTTGTAACTGCTCATTAAA